TTTTCGATGTGATGACACCCAAAGTATCGGCCGAATGGTTCGGGCGCGTCGATCTCGACGTCCTTCCCGATCAGATCCCATCCCTTGTCAATGCTACCGGCAGGTCCTGCGAGTTTGAAATCGTCAACGCACACAACAAGCAGCAGGTCGAGTTCTGGCTGATGGAAGATCGATGTCCATATTTCGGGCAACACTCTAACGAAGCCTTGCTTACCTAGGGCATCTTCGAGGTGCTTTTCCCAAAGCCCCCCTGAATCGGGATGTCCGTACAAGGCTAAGACGAGTGGAACGATGGGGTCAATGTATTGTTTGCTCCAATGGCTAGGCCATCTGTTCTTTGGCAATCTAAGCCATGTAGGAACGCCTTTGAACAGGGCTTGGATGTAGGCTTGTTTCGCATCGGCTTGCGCCTTGCGGTAGCCGGGCTGCGACCCGAAAGCGTCGAGGATCTTTGCTGCCTCCATTGACGCTGTGCTGGACCCTAGCTCCGCAAATAATGCTGCCACAGAGTTTTCATCATACACTTTTTTCCCTTGGAAAACGGTCCTTCCTTTGAACTTCTTGTTAGGATCGTCGTCGGAAAGCTCACTACCCTTTTCGTAACAAGCTTCGAAAATCCTACCAATGTGGACCTTTTCCCTTTTGTTCTGCGCTTCTCTGACGACACGCCTACATTCGTTTACTCTGCTCTCATCCCAAGCGCCTTTCTTTCGAAGGTTTTCCCATTCCTTGTCAAGAGCAGCTTGGGCCTTTGGCGTGGTGGCTACTTCGGCCTTTGGTACAAGTCTGGCTACGACTGCACTGAACAGTTCAAGAGCAACATCAAACCCAATTTTCTTGATTCGCTCTTTGACCAACTCACGCAATTGCGGACGATGCGGCTCCTTTGCAGGCTTGTCGCGTTCAGGGAGAACGGACATCGCCGGCGCTTGCCGAATTACGGGCATCGTCGGCTCGCCCTCGCGGGCGGCGATGGTTAGCTTTGCACTTGATGCAGCTTCGGGGTGCTCAGATCTGGCCTCAGTCGAGACTGTGGTGTCGAGCACGGCTTTCTTGGCATCTGCACGGAGCTGCTCTTCGTACTGCTGGGTAAGGGCCTTTCGGTCCTGGCTGCCGAGCATGACCCACATGTCGGACGGGATATCGGGAGGCCTCTTGGGTCCGGCCTTCCTACGGACGAGCCGAACCCCATCCCACACGTAGCCATCGGGCACTGGTGACCCATCAGGCATTTTGCTTGGGTCGAACGCACCACTTTTGTCAGGCATGACAGGCTTGATCTTCGCTTCGGATTGCTCCGATGCGGCGGGTTCCTCGACATGAGCTTGCCCACGCTCCAGCGGCACAGGGTCACTTCGTGTTTTGGCATCGGCAAAAGGTGGATGAGATGCAGGGTCTTTCAACAACCTCATCGGGAAGATGAACTCATCCGTTGGAAGCTCAATGCGCTTTGTTCGCTGTACCATGAGGGACGCATGTTCGATATGATAATCGAGTCCTTCTAGCTTTGCAACAAGGAACTCACCTTTCCATGCGAACCCAGGCTGAATGTGGTACCCGAGAAACACGCCTTCATTTGATGTTGGCGAAGTCTTGCCTGCCGGGTTGTTCCAGAACAGTACCTTTGCTCCGAACGGTATCTCAGCTTCATCAAAGGTCTTGTGAAACCTGAGGTACCATGGCGAATCGTTTCCGTTCAACTGTGGCAGGATGTTGGTTGCAACTGCATTGCATTGTGCTGAATGGCAAATGGCCACATCGACAGTGGGAACCCTGACTGTACAAGATTCGCACGTGCTCCCTCCAATAGATGTCTGATTTCCCTTTCGACAAACGATTTGGAGGAATCGACATTCAATGGAGGTCTGATGACGATACCCCAACTGCTCTAATCGGTGTAGAGAACCTCAACCTCGTCCCTACCGGAAATGAAATGCTGGATCCCTGCAACGGATTGCTCCGTGCTTTTGCTGGTCGACGGATACACGTACCTGAACTGCAAATTCACGTCCTTGATCACGAGAGCACACCATTCGCCTTTTATGCCTTGCTCAATGTTGGCCTTAAGAATCACATGATCGGCGATGATGTGATCTCCGAGTGCCACCTTTCGATCTTGCATATGGGGCAAGCATCTTGGCACGTTGGCAAGCGCGGCAAAAGGGATTCTTCGGATAGTGTGCAAACAGGTGCTCTTTGGTACTTGCTTCGGCAACCAGGTCTTGCTCTTTGCGGGATCTCACAAACCGCTCAACTTCGTCGTCGGGATCGTCACCTTCGTCGATGCCTTCGTCATGAACCGGTGCAGGCGCTGGCTTGGATGCAGCTACTGCACTCAACGATGGCTCAGCTTCACAGCTAGAATCCATGTAAGGCACATGACCGTCAACCTTAAGCTGGATCAGGGCACCATCAGGGCGAACCATGGTTGGCGCCTTCCCGGACTCCCAATGGAAGGAGTATCCTTGATCCAGGCACTTTACATCCAATGACAGCACTGCAGGAGAACTCTCAAGGATGTAAGGCTGAGCGGGCTCACACAATACATTGACATTGATGTCAGCGATTTCGGAAGCAGTGATGTTTCCGTTTGCAGTCACAAGGCGAATAGGCTGGGGCGCCTGCTTTCGGACCGCCTTGGATGCATTCCTCAGAGCAGCTTTGCTGATGAGGTCCTGCTCACTACCGGAATCAATTAGCCACACATCCTTTCCCTTTGGGGCAGGAGTGGCTGCCCTTGGCGCTTCGACATCCTTGCGGACATCGCGAGGCGGCATGGCAATTCTCAGGCACTCATCACAGGGTAGGCTTGAGATGGAATCGGATTCCACATCGCACATGAAACCACAAGCGGGCTGGGCTCCATTCTCAATGGCTTTGATTACGGCATTCAACTGGTTCGCGGCCTTGCTGCCTTGTTTGTCCCTTTGGTCGGCCTAGGGCAGTCCTTTTGCATAAACATCCTATTGTACTGCCGGTCCTCATATTCGAGCTTGAAACCATCGCCTTCGGCGGGGATCTCATGACGTGAGCATTGGTGTCGAATGACACTCCTACCAGGTCGATCGGCTTTGCGAACATGGCGTACCTGGTGCAGACTGCAGCAGCTTTGGCCTTAGGCTTAGGCTTAGGTGAGTTTGCACGCTTCTTAGCCGCAGGATTAGCATTGGCCTCGTTGCTCGATGCCGCAACGGCAGACTTGCCGCCCGTGGAGGCGTGGCTAAACTTGCATTTGTCACCTCTAGTGCACTTCCCTTGAGCAAAGAAAGAGCACGGTGCCTTTTCTCCCTTATTGCCTTTGGGGGAATTCTGTCTGCCACGGGCTCGCGGCTCCTTGCGGTGCGCGTCAGGGCAATTTGCCCCCCTCGTGCACGAGCCCTTCTGGGAGTCAAAGCAGTACTTCTCCTCAGTGTCCTTCGGCTTAGGTGCGCTCTTTTTCTTGGGGTCCTTCTTTTCGGGAGCAGCGGCACCTGCCTTAGGCGTTGGGGCTTTACTTGCATTGACCTTGGACACGCGCTCTCGGTTCTCGCGAAGCCTGTCCCTTTCAATCAGATCCCTCATGCAACGCATCAGGAAATCATATGATTTGTTGGGATCATCATCACGGCAACGATCATATGTGTCAATGTCGTACCGCAACAGATGGCAGCTCCTCACTTGGCGAAGCAAGATGTCTTTCAACACCTTTTCTTCGGGCGGCTTTTTCATGCCGGCAATCACGGAATCCCAAGCGTTTAGGAATCGCTTGAGATCCCGTCAGTTGGCATTGGCCCCTGGGAGAATTGCAGGGGCGGTACCGGCGCACTTGTTTTGATCGGGGACCGACCACTACCTGATGGCTTCTCTGCGGGTCCCTGCGGATCGCGAGCATCGGCAAACAATGCTGCGCTTTCGGCAGGTGGCATTATGCTGGGAGTGTACCCAGAATCGTAGCCGTCATAGGTAACAAGTGACCTGAACTTTTCCTTTGCATATTGAAATGGATTGGACAGCGGGTCCAACATTGACCTTTGTGACCGAGCCGACTTCATGTCATCGGTCATCAACTCTGGCGAATCCTCTCGGGTATCGCGTACCCCTTTGGGCTTCGATCCATCCTCGCGGAGGTCGTCTTGCTTCTGACACCTTTTTAGCTCATCGAGCTCGTCCTGCAGAAGCCCGTTTTGGTGGGCCATCATGTCAATCGTCCTGGCGTTCTTCGCTTCAACACGTGCGGTGTCATCAGCGTGCTTAGCGGCTTGCTCCTGAAGGAGTTGCTGAGCATCAGTCAGGGTGGATTCAATGGCTTGCCGAAACTCAGTTGCTTTGCGTCTCATTTCCACTTCATGCAATGCTTGGGCATTTTCCTCACACACTTGGCTTATCCTAGCTTCAGCAAAGTTCACTTCTCGGATGAACTCGTCGCTCACTCGCTGTTCGTATTCACGAATTCTATGCGACTGGGCTTGCACACACTCAGCGTAGTGTGCGTGCAGCTGATTTTGTGCGGCACGGAGCTCCTCACGGTTTTCCGCTTGCAAATGCGTAACAGCTGCTTGATGCAGGGCTTCGGCTTCAGACCTAATAGCTGCATCGTTCCCAAAAGCAAAGATTGCGGTATTGTACAGTTGAAGGGAATTCATCAGGGTGCGGTTATATTGCGCATTGGCGCTTGGCGCGAACATTCGCGCACCGCCGCCGGTGGCGTTGTCGGAGCTTGCTCCGACATCGTCCACAGGCATGTTGGATCCATCAACTGGTACAAGGGAACCGTCCATTGCTAAGAGCTAGGGGCCTACGGCTGATAACCTATAGATTCAAGGGTTACCGGTTTGGGGCCCAAAAGGAAACAACAAACCGTCCAAGTGCGCTGCTCGCACATTTTCACGCTTGAACAGCCACACTGCGGACGCAATAGATGTTAAACCCACAAACTGACCGATTGAATTCTTCAAAACCTTCTACCCGCATCGGTTTTGGTGACTCATGGATCGCGGCGACTCGCAACTCAGGCCCCCCACCCCAGGCCCAACAGAGATGAGGCCCAGCTGCCAATTCTCTAGGCCTCCCAGCAGCCACAAGAACTCCCAGCACGCACCAGTCCGTGCTTCATTTGGGGCTCCCCGTTTTTTCGGCGTACCCGTTTTTTGGGGGGTTAAAAAAAAGGAAACTGAAGCCATTGCGAACATTCCCCTAACAGCAAACTATGTAGGGCTCTAGGTTTTAATGTGAGTCAAAACCTGCACCTGGTGGGTTCGTCATCAGCTCTCTGAAGCACGGTCGTCTCAAAGATTGAAACGGCGCAAACTGCGGTCATGCAGTTGCCGAAAACTGTTACATTGCCTACCAACCAAACAAAACAACCAACCACTAAACCAACCAGACAAAACAACCAAAAACCACTAAACCTATCAAAAGCAACCAAAAACCCACTAACCCAACAAAAAACAACCAAACACTACTAAACTCACCAAAAACCACTAAACCAAGCAAAAAAACTAAACAACCAAAGTCCACAAAACAAAAAAGAGAAAGCGCACCAAAACCCACCAAAACCAACCAAAAAGACAAAACAACCAAAAATCGATAAACAACCAAAACACACAAAACAGCCAAAAACCACAAAACAACAAACAAATAGACACTAAACCAACCAAAACTAACACTCAACAACCAAAAAACAACTAAACAACTAAAAGACAAAACAACCAAAGCCCACAAAACAACCCAAACAAAGACAAAGCAACCAAAAACCACCAAAACCAACCAAAAAGACAAAACAACCAAAAACCACTAAACAACCAAAAACCAAAAAAATACAACCAAAAAGACACGACCAAAAACTTCTGAATCAACCAAAAACCGCACAACAACCAAAAACCGCCAAACCAACCAAAAGCAAAAAAAAAACTAAACCAACAAAAAAAAAACAGCAAAACAACCAAAACCACTAAACCAAAGCAACGAAACGGTCAAAAACCAATAAACAACCAAAAAGATACAAAATTACCAAAAACCACAAAACAAACAAAAACACACAACAACCAAAAAACCAAAACCGACCAAAAAAACAAAAACGAAAAAGAAACCCAAAAATTACCAAAACCAACCAAAAAAAGAACACAACAACCCAAAAACCACTAAACCAACCAAAAAAACAAAGCAACCAAACACAACACAAAACACACACAAAAATAAGAATAAGAAAAAAAGAAAAAATAAAAACCACTAAATCAACGAAAAAAGATCAACAGCCAAAACACAAAGCAACGAAAAACCACCAAAACAAACCAAACAAACCAAACAAAAACAGGACAACCCACTCCAGCAAAAATAAAAATCGCCAAAACAATAAAACAACAAAAACCCACTAAACTGACAAAAAAAAAACACCACAAAACACAAAACAACAAAAACAACAACACGAAACAACCACTAAGCAACCAAAAAAAAAAAAAAAAACAAAACGACCAAACAAAAAACGGAAAACCACAAAGCAGCCAAAACAAAACAACCAAGACCACGAAACCCAAAAAGAATACGGCCAAAAAAACACAGAACAACAAACAACTAAACTCTAAACCAACCAAAAACAACACCAGCAAAAACCACAAAACAACCAAAAACACAAAACAACCCAAAACCACTAAACCAACCAAAAAAAAAAAAAACAACCAAAACCCAGAAAACAACCCAAATAAGACAACCAAACAAGTGAACAAACCCAAAAGAAAGACAAGACAACCAAAAACCACAAAACAGCCAAAACAACAAAAACCACTAAACCAACGAACAAAAGAAACAAAAATATTAAAAAAATGACAACCAAAACTCACTTTACCACAAAACAAAACTAACCAACAAAAACACAACAACCAAAAAAACAAAACAACCAAAAACCACTAAACCAACCAAAAAAAAAAAAAAAACAACCAAAACCCAGAAAACAACCCAAATAAGACAACCAAACAAGTGAACAAACCCAAAAGAAAGACAAGACAACCAAAAACCACAAAACAGCCAAAACAACAAAAACCACTAAACCAACGAACAAAAGAAACAAAAATATTAAAAAATGACAACCAAAACTCACTTTACCACAAAACAAAACTAACCAACAAAAACACAACAACCAAAAAAACAAAACAACCAAAAACCACTAAACCAACCAAAAAAACACGAAACCAAGCAAAAACAACCAAAACACTAAGGCACGACCGAAATTGCGAACTCTCCAAGGCTAGGGCTGGCCGAGCACTCCCGAACCTCAGCCTGGGTCGTGGGCCCCGCCTGAGAGAAAAAAATGCGACGCGCCGGCCGTCACAGCGAAGCAAGAGGCTTTGCCGTTTTCGGGTGCTTGAAGGGGCATTGTACGTCAGGGTGATTATTCATGGTTGCCCACTTGCCATAAGTCTCCGTTCAGTGGGCAACCAGACTTACCACCCGCTTGCCAAGTACAGCAACCTGCCTCTTTAAGACCCATTGTTCGGTGGGCTTTTAGAGGGAAACCCAAAGGACATTCACCATTTTGGGGGGGGGCCTCAAAACAGGACACACCAAAAAATCAGCAAGCCCATTTTCGGATTCTGACAAGGACAATCATGTAATTTAGCATCCCAGAACCCATTTAGCATTCAGGGTCACCTAGAGAGAGAGAGAGAGAGAGAGAGAGACTTTGGCATTGCTGGAAGAATGGACTGGGATTGGCCGCACATGCTGAAATATATTTGCAAATTGATCAGTTGTTGCACGTGGATGCCGTGAAAGTGATGGCGACTCCCGCCTTGTACTTCTTCTTGATGAGTTTATTCTCATCGTGCATGTAGCCTGCATAGACATTCCAAGTTCTCTGGGTCTTGGCGGGCCTTTCTTTCAGATTCCAGATCTGTATGAGGGTAAGTAGAAGCAGCGAGAGTCAATCCGGGGCAGTCCGCTGGTCATCCAACAGCCCCACCTCTCCAATGTTTTTCCAAGAGACTTCATCCTACTCAAGGTGGCTGGTTCCTGACTTGAGCCTACATATCGATACTGACGTTTACATCAGTGCCCCTGAAGCCCTTGCTTCCGCCGCCAACAAACTAACCAAACCAAACCAAACCCAACCAAACCCAACCCAACCCAACCAAACCAAACAAAACCAAACCAACCAGCCAGCCGATCAACCAACCAACCTACTCACACAAAAAACGGCAAACGGACCACTCACCCGCTCCGGAATTTCCTGAGCCCAGGGACGGTGGCCCGTGACGCCGCGAGCAGCGCTGTCGTCGTCCAGCGCACGCTCCAGGTGCAGCTTCTCCATCGGTAGATCGTCCACGTTGTACCGGGGACCTCGGGCATGCGGACATATGGGCGAAAAAATCGGGAAGCCAACAGAAACAAAGACCAAAACACCTGCGGTCCAATTCCTGGTGTGCTTTTGACCCCTACCCCATCGTTTCGCTCCAGTCGCGCCCTGAGGCGCGGGCTTTTCAATCCTGATCCAGGCAACATGCCCATGTTCACATCATCCTCGTAAAAAATGTCCTGAGCTAATTCAAAGCGCGTTCCAGCAAGCTGATCTCAACGCGTCAGCATTGGAATTTGGTGAGCCGATTCCCTAGTGGTAGTTTAATGAAAATACTACAGGTGTCATCCCCTACTGCAATAGGTGCTGATGAATGATGGCGGTGCTTCATAAAATGCACTTGCGCTCTTTTAGCTTTGCCCTTGTGAAAAAACCACGGACAACCTTCTCAAACTAAAAGACGCTGACGACACATGCAAGCATGCAGCTTCTTGAGGATACGTATACTATGCAGCAGACTTTCAAGTGAGGGGTGTTCCCCTCCAAAACTGGTTCCTTGTGTAACTCATGCGTGAACCGGTCTCTCAACCTATCAAAATCTCAGCGACTCCAACTCCTAAAAGCGCCGGAGCTGCTATCGGCTCGGAGTTCTTTGCCTCCTTGTCCTTCATCTTCCGTCGCATCCTCGACTCCTGCAAGCACAACTCGCATCAAGACCCCCGCGTCTTCACCGCCGTGCCTTGAGAAGCTTGTTGTAGCGCTGCTTGTTCCTCACATGCTCCTGGGAATCCGAGCGACCGCCGCAAAGTGCTCACTTCACTTGCAGCCTGCATTGCTGAAGGAGACAAGGAGTATGGAGTAGGCTCCGGCCTTGAAGCATAACATCTCCGAACCAAGCGATTCTTTGGAAACTGCGCATTAAGTGAAGCACAAGTCTAGCATGATGGAATCCAGCGCGTCGGACGAATGCTGATTCCTCTCAATGTCTTCCTGGTCATATGTGCACATTGAGATGCTGACACATCAAGCAAAGAAAGCGGCAGCAGGCTCTGCTAGCGGCCTTCATGATCTTGGTCAAGCTCTGAAGATTTCCTTGGGATGCTTGCACGTGAAGCAAAGCTGCAAGTGGCACCTCCTGCACCACCACACAGTTAACTACATTTTGTGGGGGGTGTCCCCTATTTTGATATAGGCCCTTCTTGGATCCCCTAATTATCAACTCGCATTCGGCTGAAGCACGAGCTTTGGGCGGCAAGCTCAACTGCTCCTCAGATACAATCAGTCGGTGTTTCTCTGCGACTCGAAGACTCTGACTCTTAAATTTACGCTGGTGCATCTTTTCCTGTATTCTCAAAGCACTTGGCTCGCGCATGGTCCAGGTGGAGCCATGCAGGGAGTCACCAAATGGGAGAAAAGTTGCCCTTGCACAGAGCCTTTGGCATTGGTCGATTGATCACTGCCAGTTGTGCGCTCACTTGATGAGCGGGTTGGCGAAGAGGAGCACCAGGGCGATGACCAATCCGTAAATGGTCAGGGACTCCATGAAGGCCAGGGACAGCAGCAGCACTCCTCGCAGGTCATCCGCGACCTCAGGCTGCCGGGAGATGCCATCAATGCACCTGCCCGATGCAATGCCCTGGCCGACTCCGGAGCCGATGGCTGCCTTACATGCAAAAAACCTGGAAATAACAAGGTGATCACCGTTGAAGGCCACTAAAAGTGGGACCGAAAACGGAAAACCAATGGGCTACACGGACTGAGCTTCCAAACCAATAGCGAAGCCAGCCCCGATGGCGGACAGCGCAGGGATCCAGACGGAGCCCTCATCCGCGAACGCCACCTGCGGTGTCGCCAGGACTGCTGCGCTCAGGGCTGCTGCGGTGCCTGCGTTGGTGGCCGGAGCAGACACGGGAGCGCGGGCAACAGGCACAAATGCGCTGAAGAGTGCGCCCGAGCACAGCAGCACAGCACCGGTCAGCACCAGGGAGCGAGCCATGATGACAGTGGATGGTGTCAAGGCAAAAATGGCTGGCCAACTCTCAACTTGCGCCAAAACCGGGCAAACATGCAGTTGGCAGCAGCTGCCTGCTAGTCTGGCAAAGCTAGATGCAAATCTGCTTTGTCCTGGTTGACGTAGATGTGCCTTAAATCCAACTTGAAAGTCGTGCTTGCTCCAGAAAGTCAACCACAAACCTCCCTTGGCGTTTCTCTCAAGGCCCCTTGGAAGCTTGCAGCCAAGCCGACGCAAACAACTCTGGCCCACTCTGGCAGCCAGGTGGCTCAGGGTCAAAATCTCGGCCGGTGCGCTCCAGCCCCTTGACCGGCACATTCTTTTCGCCCAGGACGGGCGCCTGGAAACACGCGGAAGAAAAACCGGCGGCTTCCGGCGGCTGGCGTTCTGCGAGCCTCACCCGAGCACCTCATGGTGTGGGAGTACAGCTTGGAGCCTCGCTTTCCACGGTGCCCCGTGCGTTGCCCCGAAGCGGCCGGCGTTTGTGGCACTCCAGCAGTCTGAGGAACGGGCAGTACTTGATGATGAGATCTTGCGAGAACTTCCCCAGCGCCTCCGAGTCCATTTGTCTCAATCGCACAACAAAAAAGTCAGAAAACATGAATGATCAGAAAATCCAACAAAAGAAAACCACTTCCAAACAGACTTCATCGAATCACATCAAATGACCATCCCGTTTTATGTTGCCCCGATTCGCGACAAGGCAGGCCCCCCGCCTTTGGGGTGAAGGACACCACGACGCTGGTGTTTTCATTGGGTCCAAGCTTCCCCTTCATTGGATGCACTGCCATGTGCGGTACCTGATTGACAAAAGTATGCGAAAATTTGACAATAGCCATGAACTGTTCTGCCCCTTTGCGCACGCGTGGAATCTCAAAGTCCAAGGGCATGTTCTGCGCGCTGTTGCTGATTCGTAGCACGATGTCTCGCCTTTGGGCTAAAGTCTCAGGCTGAAGCAACGAATCGACTGAGTCCAAGTCCGATGGTTCACAGGGCACTGCCCGAAATGCAGCATGTCCGGAGAGACCTGGCTTGCCGCTTCAGCACAAGGGCTATGATTTTGGTCCCAAGCTGTGCGTGTGTCTGTGTGTGTGTGTAGTCAGAATTACCCTGACGCCAACCAGGGGCTTTACATGCAGGGGGCATAGGCTCATGGTGGTGACCTATGCCAACGAAGCTAGCCATCATGAAGAAAGCGCGGACTGATCATCCGCGTGCATCCGCACTGTGATACAAGGTCTATTTGGTCCCCCCGTGAATCGCTGTTGCTTCTCATTTTTGCCTTTTGAAGTCAGTAGAGGGAAGCCATCGGCCTCGCCACTCAAAACTTACCCACTCGAAACTTACCCAGCCGAACTCACACTGACTCGAAGGCCGAGCACAGTGGCACAGTGTGTGTATGTGTGCGTGAGAGACAAAAAGAATACGCATAGGTATGTATATGCCATGTTCAAATGCAAACTCAAACCCAGCAAATACAAACTCAATTTTAAAGAACCAAAAATACCAACGACAATGGGAAATCAAATCCAGCAAAACTAACAAAATGAAAATTCAAATCCAGCAATCCCTCACGTCCAATTCAAAAGGAAGCTCCAGAATCTCCAGCAATACTGTGCCGATAGAGCCGGCGAAGGCAGTGGGCGGAAGTTGCAAAAAACATGAATTACGGCTTGCAGCACACGTATTTCTCTTTCTCTCTCTCTCTGTGTCTCTCTCTTTATCTCTCCCTTCTTCTTTCTCTTTCTGTTTCCTTTCTCTTTCTCTTGTGTACGTGTGCGGATATGTGGGGATCTGTGTGTATTTGCGTATGTGTGCACGTGTGCATGCGTGTATGTGTGTCTTTGTGTGTGTGTGTATGTGTGTGAAAGTATAAGTGTAAGAGTTTAACTGCGTATGTGCGCGCATGTGCGCATGTGCGTACGTGCCTATGTGCGTGTGCATATGTGTATGTGTCTCTTTGTGTATATATACTAAATGTGGTGTATGTACAGGAGTATGCATGGGTATGTGTATGTGTGTGTGCGTGTGTGTATGTGTGTATGTGTGTATGTGTATATGTGTACGTGTGTATGTGTGTGTGTGTATGTGTGTAGTGTGTGTATGTGTGTGTATGTGTGTGTGTGTATGTGTGTGTATGTGTGCGCAGGTGTCTGTGTGTTGTACGTGCGTGTATGTGTTTGTAGGTGTCTCTGTGTCTGTGTCCCTGTGTGTGTGTGCGCGTATGTGTGCAAATGTGTGTGAGCGCGTCTTGTGTATGCATGTGCATGTGTGTATGAATGTGTGCATCAATGTGTGTGTGTGAATGTGTAGTGTAGGGAAGTGGTGCATGTGTGATATATATATATATAAATATTGTGTGTTCAAATATGTAAGTAAGCAAGCAAGTATGTATCAATGTATGGATGCATGCATGGATGGATGGATGGATGGACGGATGAATGGATGTATTAGTGAATGTATATATAGATGTCTGGATGTATGGACGCAGAGATGTATGGACGTATGGACGCATAGATGTATGGAGGTATGAACGTATGGATGCATGAATGTAGCAGTATGTGTCTGGCAGTGTGTACGTAACAGCATGTGGGCAAAAACATGGCAGTAAGTAAGTATGTATGCATGTGTGTATGTACGTACCAATGTATGTATGTATGTATGTACGTACGTACGTATGTATGTATGTACTTACGTTTGCGTGTAATATGTGTGCATGTGATATGCCTGGACGCATGCGTGTATCTACGTACGTGGGAGCATTCTTGTGCGGTGTCCTGTGGAAAACGTGTTTGTGTGAGTTGTGCATGTGGTTGCTTCTGCCGTTTGTGATTGTGCGTGTGATTGTGTAATTACTTTAAGCGTGTATAATTGTGGATAATTGTGTGCAATTTGCATTGTGTGTGTGTTAGTTTGTGTTTTTGGTCTTGTGCTTTTGTGCTTTTGTGTTCTTATGCTCGTGTTTCACTGTGGTGTGTGTGTGTGTGTGGGTGCGGGCGGTGGCGCGGGCAGGGCGGGCGGGGGGTGCGTGCGGGCGGGGCAAGCGGGCGTGGGGCGGGCGAGCGGACGGGCGCGAGGGCGCGGCGCGCGGCGCGGCGGGGGCGCGGGCAAAGGGGGCCGCGGGGGCGCGGGGCGCGGGGAGCGGCGCGTGCGCGGGCACGGGCGCGTGCGCGCGCGCGTGCGCGTGGGCGTGGGCGTGGGCGTGGGCGTGGGCGTGGGCGTGGGCGTGGGCGCGGGCGCGGGTGTGGGCGTGGGAAGGCGTGTGCGTGGGCGTGGGCGTGTGCCTGCGCGTGTGCGTGTGCCTGCGCGTGTGCGTGTGCGTGTGCGTGTGCGTGTGCGTGTGCGTGTGCGTGCGCGGGTGCGCGTCTGCGGGTCTGCGGGGCTGCGTGTCTGCGTGTGTCTGTGTGTGTGTCTGTGTGTGTGTGTCTGTGTGTGTGTCTGCGTGTGTGTCTGTGTGTGTGTGTGTCTGTGTGTGTGTCTGTGTGTGTGTCTGTGTGTGTGTCTGTGTGTGTGTCTGTGTGTGTGTCT